GAAAGGAAGGGGAAAAGCTAGATTAACTGGAGAAGGGGACAGGGAGGGGAGAAAAGCGAGATAAAGGGAAGGAGAGGAGATGGAGGAGGGGAGAGGGAGGGAGGACCTGGGGGGAAGAAGGGAGAGGGGAAGAGGAGCGAGATAAATGAGAAGGGAGGAAGGAGGGAGGGGGGAGAGAGGAGCTGGAGAAAGGGGAGAAGAGGAGGAAGGAAAGATCTAGGCTTAGGGGACAGAGGAAGAGAAGTGAGGTAAAAGGGAGGTAGAGGAGAGGGGAGAAAGGGGTGAGATACAGGAGAGAAGGCAGAGGAGAAAGGGAAAAAATGGAATGAGGGAGGAAGAGGAGATGGAAGGAGGGAGGGGCTGGAGGGGAGGGAAAAGGAGCTGAGGGAAGTAGGGAGTGGGGTAAGAGGAGCTAGATAAAAGGAAGGAGGGGAGAGGAAGAGGAGGGAAGGAGCAATAGAGGATGGGGGAAAGACTAAAAAGAGGACCAGAGGAGAGGAGAGGACATAGTGGGGAATGATCTCATAAAAATGATTAGGGTTTGGTTTTGAAATGCTGCAGGTTTGTACCATGCTGAGCATTTGGGGATTCAAAGCAGTAGCTGGGGTTACTTAACCTCCTAAGTAATCACAAAATAGCATTTGATGGCTGAAGAACTCTTCCTAGATCTCTTTGGAGAAGGAGGAGGTGTTGAGATTGAGGATGGGAAAAGCTAAAGGAGATAGGAGGAGGAAAAGAAGGATTTCCAGACACAATAGGGGGGGAAATCAAAAGTTAGGATTTTTAATTTAATTCCATGCCACTCCCACCCCCAAACATTTTATTTTTTTATTTTATTTTATTTTATTTTATTTTATTTTTTTGGCTAGTCAGTGGGGTTAAGTGACTTGCCCAGGGTCACACAGCTAGTAAGTGTTATGTGTCTGAGGCTGAATTTGAACTCAGGTCCTCCTGAATCCAGGGTGGGTGTGCCACCTAGCTGCCCCTAAAACAGTTTTTTTTAAATAGTGTAAGGGGCGATGATCAGGGGAGTCTGGGAAATTTCTTGAACCCTAGGATCTATTTGATGTGTATTAAGAGGACCTAGAATTTTTGAGGTTAGGGAAACATACCCACCATTGAGTATAAACATGAGGTTTGGCATATTGTTGAGAGAACAATTGACTACTCCCGAAGGATAGATGTGAGCAATTGGGATCCTGTTTGGTTTCTTCTAACTCTTAAGACTCCTGCAGTGTTGCAGGAAAATGGACTCTTGTCTCAGTGGGTGTCCTTTTGCACCAGTCTATAAGGCAACATAACAAACCAGTCTGATTATATGTTACTCCCCCTCATGCATTCTACCCTTCAGATAGATAAAACCTACTTTCTATTCCTGGGACATGATTTCATCTGCCTTTGTTCTTTGCATTGGCTTTTCCATACCTAGAATACTCACCCTTGCTTTTTAAAATCCTTAGCTTCCTTCAGCTCAAGTGCCATATCTTTGAAGAAACTGGATTCCCCAGTTATTAGTGCCCCTCCCTAAATCACTGTACTTATTGTATGTATATGTGTATTTATTTATTTAGGCTCCAACAGATTGTAAACTCTTTGAAGGGAGGGCCTCATCCCGTAGTGTAGTTCCTCGAAGAAGTTATTGTTAAGTCCTTTCAGTCATGTTCAATTCTTTATAACCCCATTTTGAGGGTTTCCTTGGCAAAGATAGTGGAGTGGTTTGCCATTTCCTTCTCTAGCTCATTTTACGGTCGAAGAAACTAAAGCAAAGAGTTAAGTGATTTGCCCAGGGTCACACGGCTAGCTAGTAAGGGTCTGAGGCTGGATTAGAACTCAGGTCTCCACGACTTCAGGCCTAGCACTCTATTCACCGTGCCACCTAGCTGCCCAACACAGTAATATTATACTTTATTCATATGTTGGAATTTATTTAGCTATTACCTATCAATGGGCAACTATTTCCAGTTCTTAATTACTACAAAAAGTAACTATAAATATTTCGGTGTACTTTTCAATTACTTTGATTCTTTTATTTCCTTGGGATATATACCTGGCAGTGGGATCTCAGGATCAAAGGGTAGGGACAGGGACTGGACCTGTGATTTCACTGAAATTATTCAAGTGACTTAAATGAACTGATGCAAAGTGAAATGAGCAAAACCAGGACAACATTGAATACCGTTAACAGCAATACTGTAAGAATGATCTACTGTGAAAAACCTAGCTACTCTGATCAGTTCAGTGATTTACAATTCCCAAAGACTCATGAAGAAGGTGCCACCTACTTCTAGAGAGAGAACTGATGGACTGTGAGGACAGATTGAAGTTTTTTCTTTTACTTTGTTTATTTTTCTTGCTTTGTTTCTTGCAACATGGCTAATATGGAAATATGTTTTGCATGACTTTTATATGTGTAACAGGTATATTTCTTACCTTCTTAATGAGTGGGGGAGGGGGTAGAGAGAGGGAGAGAATTTGGAACAAAGTAAAAATAAAACTTTTCCTGAGCCTTCTCAAAAAAATTATTCAACTAAAACTGCTTTCTCCAAAGTTATCAGTCATCTCTTAATGGCCTTTTCTCAGTCCCTATCCTTCTTGACCTCTCTACAACCTATAACACTGTTGATCACCCTTTTCTCTTGGATACTTGGTTCATTCTAGATAATCCTGATGCTGCTCTCCTAATTCTCCTCTTACTCATCTGACTGATACTTCTGTTTTCTTTGCTGGACTTTGTGGTTAGTCCTGGGCCCTCTTCTCTCTATATACTTTTTCACTTGATCTCAGCAGCTCCCATGGATTCAGCTATCATCTATATGCAGATGATTACCAGATCTGTTTACCCAGATCAAGTCACTTTGCTGAACACTGGAGATCTCAGATCACCAATTGCCTTTTGTACATCTCTTAACAGGATGCCACATCTTAAACTCAATGTATTTAAAACAAAACTCATTTTCACCCCAAACGCACCTTCCTTTCCCAACTTCCCTATTGTTGTCAAGGGTACCACCATCCTTTCAGTCACCTAAGCTTGAAACCTTACTGTCATCGTCACCTCCTCATTTGCATTTGCCTTACATATCTGGTCTTTTGCCAAGGCCTGTCATTTCTACCTTCACATCTTTTATATATGTCCCCTTCCCTCCACTCACACAGCCACTACCATGGTGCAGGCCCTTATCACCTCATACCTAGACTTCCAGTGGGTTCCAGGTTGATGTCCTTCCTCAGGTATCTCCCTATTCCAATCCAACCTCCATTCAACTACCAAAGGGATCTTACTAAAGCTCAGATTTAATCATGTCACTCTCCTGATCAATAAACTCCAGTGGTTCCCTATTATGTGCAGGATCAAATATCCCTACTGAGCATTGATACAAAAAAACCCTAAATATTAGCAAAGAAGTTAGAACAACATATCACAAAGATTATTCATGATATTAAGCTGGATTTATAACAGGGATGGTTTAATATTAGGAAAACTATAAACTTAAGCATATTTATAACAAAAAAAATAACATCAGTTTCTGTTAAAAAAAAACCCCACTAGAGAACATGTAAATGAATCCTTTTTTAACATGATTGTGTGTGTGTGTGTGTGTGGTTAATAACACCAAGGTCCCAAATTTGTTCATATGGGTCATTTGATTTTTGAGGGCAGCTAGGTGGCACAGTGGATAGAGTACCAGGCCTACTGTCAGGAAGAGTCATTCTTGAGTTCAAATCTGGCCTCAGGCACTAGCTATGTGACACTGGGCAAGTCACTTAACCCTGTTTGCCTTAGTTTCTTCATCTGTAAAATGATCTGGAGAAGGAAATAGCAAACCACTTAAGTATCTTTGCCAAGAAAACTCAAATGGGGTCATGAAGAGTCAGACATAACTGAAAACCACTGAATGACAACAAATATATCTAAAACCAAGAACCAGTATCACATGAGACAAGAATAAATTGGAATCCTTTCCAAAAAGAGTGGAATAAAATAGGGATGTCTATTGTCAACACTTCCTAGGGTTCTGGGACTAGAAATGTTGGCTATAGCAAGAAGCAATAAGAAAGAATTTGAGGGAATAAGTATAGGTAAAGAAGATCATATGATAGATAATACGTTCTTAGAGAACACTAGCCAGTCAACTAAAAGATTAATTGAAATAAGCCAAGTTGCAGGACATAAAATAAATCCACAGAATTCATTAGCATTTCTGTATAATGCCAATAAACCCCAGCAGGAAAAGATAGAAAAAGAAACTTCATTTAAAATAACTAT